GTTCAAACTCTATCTTTAAGATATTTCAGACAATTCATCATAAAGTTTAATTACAACAACAATAACCCAGTTGAATCCCACTACATGGGGAGGGTGTGTGTACGCAGACCTTGCCCCTACTCGGAAGTAGGGAGGCTGTTTCCAAGAGACACCCGGCTCCAACTGCACAGAAAATATGATAAGAATCATCATAAAGTTTAATTGAATGTCAAAAGTGGACAACTAATTATAGACCAACAAAAATATGGAAGTGGACAACTCAATTCAGACCGAGGGAGTATAGTTTTAGTGTAAATTCATATTACATCATATCTTACCAAATTAGACGGCTACACCTAAAGTCACAAAAACAGCATGGTGATAAAGCTTCATGTCAGATGTGTTTCCTGTCACAACCTTCACAAGAAAGAACAATGAAATCCAAAACCCTCTTCATATTGATTTTCTTTCAATTGTTTTTTGGTTATTGTCACATTCAATGCACTAATTGTTTGTTGTGATCACACAGTGGTTGAACAATTGCGTGGGAAGGAAAAATTATGTTTCATTTATAATCCTAATGGGAACAAGCCTTATTTGGGTACGTTTTTAATAGTGCCAGTCTTCCATTTTTCATTTCATAAACTTTTAATATTTATCATGAACAATTTTTTCCTTATGCGACAGCTTGTATTTGAATGTGGGGTGGGCATTGCTGTTCTGGTTAGATGCTTTACTCATAAAAAGGCTACAGAGAATCATATAAGAGACAGACTTGGAGATGGATTCTCCATACCTCCCTTTGCTACAGTAGTGGTATGTGGCATGTCCCAAGATTTTAAGCTTGTCACTCACTAATTTGTACTCCCTTCGTTCCAAAATCATGTTTCACGTTGGAATTGGCATAGATTATTATTCTTATGAAGAAAGTTGAAACTGTGTGGTTGAGATTTATGTAGAGGATAGAAAAATAATGTGATGCACCCAATTCTTTCTCTAAATTGAAAATAAAACCTTATTTTAGATTAGACCAAAAAAGAAATGTTGAATCTTTTTATGGGACATAGAGAGTATAGTGTTTGGAAAAATACAACTGATAAGATCATTTAGATTTACAAAATGACGTAAAAGGATTTGTTCAAAATGAGTTTAAGATAAAACAATTAAAGTGGAATAGTAAACAAAAAAGTTCATCATTCAACGGACTCTTAGAAGGTCATTATATATCTTTGAGTTTATAAATAACTTATAAAATAGTTCATGGTGTGCCAAACATTCCATTTTTTCTACGTACATGTATCTACATGTAGGTTATATTCCATGGTTTGCAAGTTTATTTTACAATATCAATATTGTATGGTGTTATAGTCTTAATAAACTCTATACAATTAGTTTGCACTATAAATTTGATGTTGCCAACCCCAACTTGTTGGGATTATGGGGCTGCTGCTGCCAATGTCAATGAATCATGTAGTGAAACATCTCACTAGCAAATATCTCAGTTCAGTGGCATCTAATGAAATTTTCCATGCTTGTGGAAAGAATCTATGATGATGACACGTTTTATCCCATTATTTCTTCTTATGAAAGTTGCACAAGAAAGGCATCCAACATAAAACATTGCCGCTATGATTTTATTAGTTCATGGAACTTCTTATACATATGATTTACACAGTAGTATTCTACTTTTTTTCTTGGGTAATTTGGATCTAATAAATCCATAACCATTGTTTGTGCACTCGTTTTACTGGCTTGCATTTTCAGGGATTCTGTACGGCAGTTTCATTTATTGCAATTGTGCCGTTAGCTGAACTGCTCTTTTTCCACATTATTCTAATCCGTAAGGCAAGTTTTTTTCAGTGTCGCATTGTGTTGTGGGTCCCATGGAACATTCTACATACCACCAATCCAAGAATCAGTCTTTATTTATTTATTTATTTTAATCGCAGGGTATCACGACTTATGAGTATGTTGTTGCAATGAGGGCCCAAAGTGAACCTCCCGGCCCATCTATAGACGGTGGTGATGAGCAAAGTCTGCCTTCATCACCAACAGGTTCTGCAGTGACAGCCATGAGCGGAAGAAGCTCCGTTGGGCGTGGCTTACCTCATAAAGGTGCTTGGTGCACCCCTCCGCGAATTTTCATGGATCATCAGGTATTTCTTTAGTTCTTGTTCAATCTCCCTCTCCCACATTCTCTGATTCAATCTCCTCTTTTTATGGTATGTTTGGGTGCCAAAAAATGCTACATAAAGGGGACAAAATGATGTTAAAAAATGCTAGGGAATGGGAAAAAATACTGAGAAATATTATTTTCTTATGTGCAGTTTTATCCTAATAAAATCAATTTAAAATGATTTTTTCTTTGGATAATACAAACAACATTACCCCAGTGCCTCAACGGCTCCCGCCCATTGCGGGGTAGGTGGGGGGGGGTCGGATATACGCAGTCTGAGCCCTATGATGAGCGTCGAAAATTGCATTGACCAACTGCTATGTTTGCTTAATATGCTTGAAAAAAACAGTTTATGAGTGATGACGGCAATTCTACATTTTTTAATGAAACATATAAAAATATAAAACCAGAAATGAAACTGGACCAGAACTGTGGNGGAACCAAAACTGGCTTGTGTCCACCTCTACCCAGGGTTATGGGGTAGATGTACACGGACCTTATCCCTGCCCAAAAGTGTAAAGAGGCGGAAGACCCTGTCAAGAAAACAAACCAAAACCTTTTAGAACAATCTGAGAGTAAGAGCAATCAAAGAAAAGGAGAAGAAAGTGAAGGGAAAAAAATGCAACTGGCTTATTTGAAGAACAGAACAACATGGGACGTATAAATGGGCATATTCCTGGGTCATGAGACATGGTGATTTTACTTGTATGGTTTTTGAATTACGTAACAACATTGTGATTTTTTTTTACTAAAATGCTTTTCATCTGCCAACAATCAGGACGAAATCATCCCTCATCTCGAGCCAGGACGCGTGCCATCCACGGTGGATCCCGACACAGTACAATCCGAAAGGGACAAAAGGATACCTAACCGTCCGGTGAAAATCAGTGCGTGGAAACTAGCAAAGTTAGACTCCAATGAAGCAATTAGAGCAGGTGCAAAAGCCAGAGCCTCGTCCTCCGTCCTACGACCCATCGGTTCAAGGCACCATTACCCTTACGATGCTGACACCATATCTAGTGGGATGAGTGGCAAAAGCAGCCCGGCGAGCAGCCGTGGTGGGTATTACGATACTAACCCCAGGGCCGGGACGTCAAGAATGTCCCCTTCTAAGAGCTCCTACCCGCCGAGCCGTGCCAGCAGGGAAGACAACGAGTCGTACAGTCACAGTGTAAGCAACCTTAGCAGCCCACTCCCGCCTCATCTCACCCCCTCGCCTCTCGGCCCGTATTCCGCCAGCCGGGCCCACTCGGCTCAAGAGAAGAAGAACTCAGCGGCAGTTTCAGAGTCGTCACGGGGGTCATCGGTCTTCTGGGATCAAGAGGCGGGGCGCTTTGTGGGACCCGCCGCCACCACTTCCACCTCTCAACATCCCGGGGCAGAGCTGACCTTCACCGGTCAGTCCATATTTTTTGGCGGGCCTTTGTTGGCCCAGGGGACGACGAATAGACCGCAACGAACGGGAGGGGCAGGCGGTCAGCTGCCCATCTTTGTTCCTAGAGGTGATTCGCCGCAGAATCAACCTTCGTCTCGGACCCAATGAGGCTTTGAAAAATCTTGGTCTGGTTAGCTGTTGTTTTCTCTACCCCATAATTTTTTGGTCTCTTCAAGCAGGAGTTTAGATTTGCAGTGGTAGTTTTCCAAGAATGCCCCTACCTATTGTCTCCCCCTTTTCTTTTTCCTTTTAGTAGGTAGCATTCAGATGAATGTCCCTATTAACTCATTATTACAGACCCTTCATCTATTTGAATTTCTTCTTCCGATCCCTCTTTTTTTGCCATATTTGTGTTTCTTCACCCTATGATATGCATAATTGTATCTTTTTAGCCCCCTCCCCCCTTCCTAGAGTTTCTGATCATTTACAAATTACAATGATGTTCTACTCTTCAAACATTTCATAAGAGTGGACTATGTGTTGTAAAAGCAACACAAATTATGTATTGAATGAAATGAGAGAGGGTTAAAGTGTGGTTTAAGTTTTGCAGCCACTGGGTGGTTAAATATGAAAAATATAACCAAATTTATAACTATAATTTGTTTAGAGACCATCGCCAATAACATGGCGGTTCATGTGACATTGCCAGACAATATCATGACATGATCTGGGGTTGCTATGATGTCTTGTTCATAAAATTGACAATTTTTCCACCTGTGACCTAACCTCACGATAAACCCCACCCCTTCCCGGACCTGAACCCAGCTCCCCACCCTCTTCAATTTACCGCCCGGACCCGAACCCAGCTCCCCACCCTCTTCAATTTACCGTATTCAATGTCATGATTCTGTTAATGACACTCAAAATTCTATCCAAAATATTAGCTCGATGAATAATGAATGAAATCTATATTAAACACAATTCATGTCTTCATTATAGTTGTAGAGTCAAACCTAACAACAATACTTTTTTGGAGAATTTTAAAGTTATATCAAAAAGTGTCTTAATTATACACTAGGCAAACACATTCATAACGTCTGTGCGTCCTAGCAGATATAAAATGTTTGTATTTGTATAATTAGGATACACTTTTTACTTTATCCCTAATGTTTTTCCTTTTTTTCCCACTCCTTTTTACCCTTTTACCGCATCCTTGGCCAGCACGAATGAAAAATGCTAGGGGTACACCAAAGGTGTACCCCATTTGTCCCCCACCCCCTCCATCACCACAATAAAAGGCAAGAAAATAAAAAAAATTAAATAAATAAAAATAAAAAAAAATTGAATGGTGGAGAAAGGGGTGGAGGACAAATGGGGTACCTATTTGGTGTACTCCTAGCATTCCTCAGCACGAATCCATGTCAAAGATTAGTGACTAGTGAGTGTGCGGTCTAGCATTGGAAGTATCGGGAAAAAGTTACTCCGTAGTAATTTCTTATGATTCATCCTTCCCCTTTGTCTCTTGTACTTTCCGCCATTTTTAGGGTTTATAAGCACCCCTTTTTACGCCCGAATTCGCGCACCCAGTTTCTGAAGAAGAGAAATGGAGACATCGCTCAGATGCTACGCAGGTTCCAAGTCAATCAAGCTTCACGCTAAGGAGAGATTCGTTCTCGACTCTTCTACTCATTTGAAGGTACTCTCCTCACCTCTTTTTTTTTCCGTTTTGGAATGATTTGTTTCGAAAAAAGTTAATCTGATATGTTGATCTGTCATCATCTCCATGAACAGTTAATCTGTGTTCTTCGGTTTGTTGAAATGGTCATTCTGAAAATGCTTTCTGGTGTTGCTCCTGTTTATGTTTTTGAAATTAATGTTTTTTAAAATGCCTGGAATCGTTTGTGATTTTGCTTGAATGAATGCCATTATCAATAGATATTTAGATATGAATTGAACACTAATTGATGATTCACTTTCTCTAAACTCTGAACATTAATAATCTGTTTTTGGAGTCGGTCGAAAGCTACTCTCCCAAATCCCAAAGCTTACTTGAAGTTTGAACATGAAGATAACAATTTGCTCAGCTCATCTTGGTCTCATGATATTTTCCATGCGTGTCCTACTGTGGGAATACCTCATCATGATGATGATGGTGATGTTTTAGAATTTTCATCTCAATTTTTCTTCTTACAAACGCCGTGACAAGGGCATCCGGCATAAAACATTGCCACAATGTTTTATGCTTTAATTTATAGTGTGTATTGGGAGTATACATTTATTTTGTACTATAGAGTTAATGCAACTGACCCAATTAATTGGTTCAGTTAATGCAGCTGACCCAATTAGTTGGGATTAAGATGATGCTAATGGTGATGGTGGTGCACACTCTAGTTGCTAATTTGTTGTTGAAATTATTTGATTGACACGTCCCTTTTTTCATGGCTAGTTTACCTTGCTGATACTCCCTTCTTTCATTTGTTTCATAATGATTGGCAGGTTCATGGAGAATTAGACACAGGGACTGGAGCTCCGAGTCACTTTAGTACAATGATAAGCCACTTCTATCTGAATGCATGCTCCCAATCTTTCCTTTTATCTCTTCTGTACTGAAGAAAGCTGTAATGGCTGCTCAAGGAAAATAAAATTAGGATTACGAAGAATTAAAATGAAAACAGCATGGCTAACACAATGCTTGCTTTTGTGTTCTTAATTTTGATGATTGGACATATGTAGGTATCTTCTTCACTCGGTGTAGGATTGCTGTATGACAAGAAAGATACTCTCCGGTACAGTGTACATGTGAAGAAATCATTTAGTGTTACTGCTGATCCGCGCGTTAACTTTCAAATTAAGGGGAGATGTGATGTGGATCAAGGATTTGAACAGGTCGGCATAAAGGGAAAATACAATATTTTACTTGTTACAAAATTTACAATGCTTGATGGTATAATTGTGTTAATGTTTTTATGTTGTTCTTGTATATGCCATCAATTTCTGTGTAGAGGATTGATTACTTTGAATTAAACCAGTTTTAAAATGCAAGAAAAATAAATGTTTTCACTTTTTAAGGTAAACCCAAGCATAAGAAAATAACTTTCCCTAGCATTTTAATTTTTTTCTCAAGCTTTGCTAGGGATCCAAAGTCCAAATACTCCTTTAGAGTATTGATAACCAATTCTTTTTTAATAAATATTTCCTGTGTTTTTTAATTGAACACATTGACAGAGGAAATCAAGTGGAAAAGCTGAATTCATTTGGGATATTGTGAGCTTCAATAAAGACCAAGATGTGCGGATCAAAATTGGATATGAAGCCTTTGAGAAGGTACAAATTCTTATCATCTTCATTTATGCTATGTTTGTTTGAGAAGATATATATAGAGTTCTGAGAGAAAGATGGAAGAGTGTGAGAATAAAGAAATAACATAGAAAGTAAGGGAAGTTTTTCTAGTCATTAGTACGAGAGAAAAAAGAGAAAGAAAGTTGAAAGAAATATGTTATTTTTCCAAAGTACAAAAAAAGCAAAATATTTCATCAAGGTGCTAGATGAGAATGGGTGCAAATGGAACAATCTTGTGGATCGTACTCGTTCACTTGAAAAGAATGCTCTTTCTTGCCTATTTTATTGCACAAGAAGAGAGATTGCAAAAACCTTGTGGGTCACACCTTTGTTTTTTTCCCTCCCTATCTATTCCAAAACTAAACAAGTAGTTTTCACGCTTTCTTCCTTTATTCTGTTTTTCTATACTAGCAAATTAAGGCTTGATATTGGATGATACTTGCATAATTATGTCTTCTTTTACACATTCCATGCTATCACATATGATTATTTTGCACTCCGTATCTTCTTTCTACACCATGGCTCTATGATGGTCCTTTTATTAATTAAATTGCTCATGCTTTTATTACTTACATGATTCAATGATCCGAGGATTGGCTTAAAACTGGGGAACAACATCAGAGTAGTACTCGCTTGCATATGCTCTACTTTTCAACTTACCGAGTTACCCCTACTTAGCATCTTGGAGTAACTTTGAGACTTGGATATATAAAATGGATTTTGTCCCCATAGATCAACAATGATTTTAAATATTACTATGATACAATACGACTTTCCATGCTCTTAACACAGATAAAAAACGCAAAATAAAAGGCATTTTGGTATTTCACACTCCTATCCACTCATTATTCCTTCCTTAATCCTTTTGTCTGAAACACTAGAAAGCTATGACCTTTTTTTGGAATGCCGAGCTTAGTTGTAATGCTTTTCACTTGTCCCTTAACTTGAGTCTGGAAAATTGAGTGCTACGAACATCTTGATTTTCATTGTCTTCTTCGCCGTCTTTTCATCCCGGTTGCTGTGCGTGTCAGGTTCCGTATGTGCAGATCAGAGAAAACAATTGGACAGTGAATGCTGATCTTGTCGGGAGGTGGAATGTGAGGTATGCGTTATGAGTAGAGATATTACTATCATTTGCCAGATAAATTGTGAGACAGACATGTACACTATGAATGCTGTCCAAACTTATATGAAGAATCACTTGTGAAAACATGACACACTAAGGCCATTTTCATGAAGCGGCAGTAATTTTTATAAGTTTATGGTTTTGTTTGGTAACGTTTATTTAAATAAGGGTGCGTTTGGTGAGGGTCATTTACCCCGAACCACTGAATTTATTTGACGGGAGTGCATATTCTGGATTTCTGGTTCAGTGAGTTGATGCTGCCAAGTGCCAACCAAACGAGCAGAGTTTGGTTTCAATGCCATTTCTTATTGCAATTCTACCACACTAACACCTTCTCTCCCCTCTCTCTCTCTCACAAGAATAATAAATGAGAAAAAGACTAAAGTAGGAGTAAAACATTGAAAATGTACCAAAATAAGGCTTCTATGTTTTTATTCTCGAAATAGTGTTAAAAACTTAAAATGCATTTACATTACCAAATACCAAACGTGGTCATGTACATTACCAAACAATACAGTAATGTGCACATGTACATTGTCACATTACAATTATATTACCATAGTGCGAATTCGTATTTCAGAAATAAAAACATGGAACTCCTATTTTGGTAATTTATTTTATATTTTTAGTGTGATTTTTATATAAAAAAATCTATGAAAAAAAGAAGAATAAAAGTAATGGCTAAGGCTCTGTTCTGAATGCTAGATTGATTGAATCTAATCTGAATTTTAGAAATTCTGATCAGGTCTGATTGGGTTTGATCTAATTAGGTCTGATTTGATTTGATTGGGACTGATTTGATCTGATAAACTTTGTTCCGATATGATTAAATCTTATTTGATTTGGTTTGATTTAATTTAATTAGATCAGGTATAAATGAATTTAAATTTAATTTATTTAAACTTAAAATTATTACAAAATTAAATAGGTTTAAAGTATTCGATTCATATATACAAAAATATATTTAAACTTTTTTTAAATATTACTCCATCCGTCCTAAAACTTTCTTTCTAGAGCACTATTCTAACTTCATAAAATAGGTGTTGAAATGTACTTACATTATCAATTGTGCTCATATACATTACCAAAAAATATAGTAATGTGCACATGTACAATGCCACATTACAATCACATTACTACCGTGCGAAGTTTTATTTTTGAAATAAAAACATATGACTCTTATTTTAATAACTTATTTTATGTTTTAGTTCTATTTAGGGTGATTTCTATAAAAAAAATTATGAAAAAAAGAAGAAAAAAAAGTAACGGATGTTCATCCCAGCTTTTGCAAATTTGCATTATCGGCTGCTCAATCCCATCTGATGAGTAAACGGCTATTAGCCATACAAATGCTATTTTCCTTTTCTCCACCGTCCTAAATTTTTTAAAATAACTTTTCCTTTTTGGACAATTTTTTTATTTAAAAAACACTTTTCATCTAACTGATTTATTTAACCCTCCATATAGAATAATTTTTCACATTTCGATTTACGAGGTTTGATTGACACTATCTTTAATATAATTTGTTTGATTAAAAACTACATACAAAGTCTTATGAAATAAGAGGTAAATTGCATAGACTGTACTCTCCTCTTCATAATTTACATTATTTGTTATTGTTTATGAGCTTTGATTGAAGCTATTTTTATTTTGTCTTATTTGAAAATTGGTGTACAATTTAATAGTAAAAAAACTAGAAGAAACTGGAAAAAATTGGAAAGAACTAAAACAAACTGGAATTATAATTTAAAGCTCTAAAGAACAAGGTCTTAGTATGATTAACTATTTATTTGGGTAGTAAGTGTTGAGCTTGTGACCAACATCGTACCACTCTTATAATTTTAGGGTTAAGGCCCATGATAAATTATACTCCCTCTATCCCAAAAAGTCCAACATGTTTCGAAAAAATTACGTCTTATAAAATCCATTACAATAGTATTAAAAAACTACTTTTACCTCTTACTTTTTCATACCTTACCTATCACGTCATACTTTTTTTTAATAATCTATCTATCATATTCTATTTTTACCCATCATATCAAGTGTATTTTTGGAAAGTCAACACTAAGATATCTCTCTTTTAATTTTCCAAAAAGTCAATATGTATCAATTTTTTTGGGACCGATGAAGTACAATTTTAAATACTCCCATCACTTGGAGAGAGCCTTAACCCTAAAGACATCTCTACACCCCATCTTCTTCCTCTTCCCCTCCTTTGTTTCAACAATGGTGATAGATCGATATAAGATTTCTACTACCTTTGGGTCTAAAATCCATCAGGTCATATTCTCTGTTTTTTCATTAAATATATTTTCTTCCAATGATGATGAAATTTTGGTCAAACTACAACAAATTGATTTCTCCTAAAATGTACGGAGTATTTAAATACGGAGTAATTAACGCACACTCCTTATTTCTCTAACATGTTTGACTGCTTTTAGTATGCATACAACCATGATTAAAGAATTACGCTAACGACTTATATGTCTTCACTTCAATTTTCACATTTTTGGTTGTTTTCATTTGCATAGAACCATACGGTATTTAAAAAATAGATTGTATTCTATGTCATCATAAATAATTTCTTTAGCTTGTATGATGAGTTTATTCACTTGAACTATTTTGGGTGCATAAAAAACACAATCAAAGCATTTAATGTATCATATACATTAAAGCATTTAATGAATCATATACAAAAAAAACGCGGAGTTGGCACGGCTTTTTGGCACGGACTGTAGTTTACGTTTTCCATGACTAAGGTATTAGGCACGGATTTTGGCACGGACACGAAATGCTGCCAATTTCGAAGCTCCAAACCGTATGTCACGGAAATCCAGTCCGTGCCAAATATACACACGACGTCACTCGTGACAAAATTGTTCCAAACTGACGGTTGTAAGAAAAACATTAAAGATATTAGGCACGAATATGTCCGTGTCAAAATTGTGTTCTTACAAATATAACATAAGTCACGGATATACCCGTGCCATTATTTTGAAAATTTTCAAAATATTCAAAAATTTTCAAAAAATTCAAATACGCGGGGAGATTAAATTCCGAAATTCAAATATTTTGCCACGGACATATCCGTGCCAAGGATTTTAAAAAATAAAAAAAATATTTTTTGTCACGGATTTATCCGTGCCTTAGATTTCGAAAAATTAAAAAAAACAATTTTGAAAATAAAAAATTAATAATACATAACAGGCCATAATTCAAATACGGAATAAATCACTCACAGCATAATAATGTAGATTTATAAAATTAATATCCAGACAAATGTTAATGATGAATAATTACAGATTTTCATTCTTTAGAAAACTATTAACACCACAGTTATTTGAATTGTGTCCTTCCGGTTGAACGTTTGGCATTTGAGGGAGGACCGTATATTGTTGAAAAACAGGCATGAGAGAAGACAAAACACACAGGAATTAAAGGTGCTCCTCATTAATTTTTGTCTGTGTCCGGCAGTAAAACCCCGAGTGACCATGTGTAACGAATCTATAAATGTAATAAAAAATAAATTAGTATTGAAATAAATTAGTATTGTGTTTAGGACAGCTTGTTGGCTGGAAAAAAATTTAAAAAAAAATTAAAAAATCATACATATAATATACTACGTATGAGATAATAAAAAACAAAAAATTACCCTTCAATTCGGCCTTAGTGATCAAGTGCGGAAGATCCACGTACGGCGCCGCACTAGCCTCCGTTGAAACTCCGTCTCCTCCTTTGCCGCCTCCTCCACCTTCGACCTCGACCTCAGCCTCCAAGTCGCCACCGACATTGATCGAATATGGACTATGGGGTAGTGGTAGATGGCGATTTCGGTGGTGCTCGAGAGTGAGAACGCTGAAAGCTTCCCCTACCGCGAATGCTACCGCGGAAGGAAGTGCTCCTTGCTGAAGACATTGAAAGAAGAAAGGGTTATGAGGTGTTGGGAATTAAACACACAACACACACAAATAATCTGCGAGAAACGAGAGAAAGAGAACACAAACGACACACAAGAATTTAACGTGGTTCGGTTTCCCTAATCCACGGCTGCAACAAGAGGAATTTCTTATTTCACTTGTGGTGCAGATTACAAGTACAAGAATGCAATATATATAGGAAGAGTGCATCTAGGGTTTCGTAAAATGGGCCGGGCCAAAAGTCAAGCCCAAGCCTCCACAAACCCAACATTCTCCCACTTGGAGGCTTGATAGTCATCAACTGCCATCCACCACGATTCCCTGTACATCGAGTAATCTTCCTCAGCTCTCCTATTGCAGCGGCCCTAACATCAGACAACTGAAAGGCCCGTTGAAGCTCTCCCAAGCTCCAACACATCAGTCACGGCAAAAT